TGCTGTTGGGGGGAGGGGGATGAGAGGGGAAGAACGGTCCATCCAGCCTGGACCTGGAGACAGGCATTGGCCCACATGGGGGGATCCCTCTGTCTCAATGGGGGTTCCCTGCCTCTGGCTGGGTCACCAGACAGCCCTGCAGCCAGAGCAGAGGGGAATCCCTCCACCTTTTACTTTGGGGTTGGCATAACCCTGCCCCCAGGAGGGAGAAGGGGGAAGTCTCTGCAGCCCAGGGCTTTGGGCTGAGCAGGGTATCAGCCCACATGAGAGATGGGTAGGGTACATTTCCCACTGCTCCAGCCCCAGGGCTCTGTCTAGGAACCCAGGCAGGGGCACTATCCCCACCTGGGCTGATGCTGGGCTCCAGCTTGTGCCAGTCCCGGATTTGCGGGACTTCTTTTCCCACTCCTACCTGCACGTAAGTGATGCACACTGGCCCAGCCAAGTGGGGGAGGGTAGAAAACTTGCACAGGGATGGGCTGGAGAGGGGGGAAGGATGCTCTGTTTTCCTCCCACCCCACTGGGTTGACAGGTACAGGAAGGACCAGGGCTGTAAAACAGAGGCTTTGCTGCCTCCACTCTGTGACAGACTGGGGGTGGGGCCAGCCCTGCTAAGTTGGAGCAGACAGAACAGGCCAAGGGTAGCCCAACCACCATGAGAGGGGTGCTTGTGGGAGGGTGGGGGTGCAAAGCATCCTGGAATGCTGAGGGAATTGTGTCAGGAAGGGATCTGGGACAGAAGTTTGCTAGATGTTTTTAACTTAAATCAGTTAAGTCTGATACTACATCCATCCAGGTCTATCTTAAACGAGTTTTGGCCATTTTGAAACCAGTCTATGTTAACTGAACTTCTTTTCTGTTACAGCTTTAAAGCAGTTTCCAATCACTTATATTGGTTTGTGTGTAATTTCTGTCCCTAACCACAAATGTGAACACAACTAAATTCTGGTTGCTATAAAAGTTTCTATAGAATCAATAACTGAATGATAATCAACAAGAGGTACTGTCACTGCGCCACCGAGTGTTTTTCAAACTATGTTGGTTAGTCATCTTTACCTCTGGGTTCTAGTTTTATATGACAATTTTTCATTGCGACTGGGAACTTACATAGTAATTGGTGCCCTCTCTTTGAAGGTCTGTGTCAGTTTCCTTTTAGGTTCACATATGAAAATCCTGATTTCACTAAAGTCACTGGCAAAACTCCCACTGATGATTTGAATAGTTTCAAGCTAGTATTTTATGTTAGTTAAAAACCATGAGGAACTCTCAACATTTTATTTTATTTTTTTTATTACTTATATACAATATGCCTAAAGGCAGGGTGGGCATATTTGGTTACATTTGCAAAGTGTTGGAAAACTACGAAGTTTTGATATGAGGGAATCTAACTTGTTTTAAATGGCCAGTATGAACAAGACCAGCAAAACAAAACTAGCACAGGCACGGGATAAAGATTTTTTCTTAAATGGTACTATTACTTGAGGTCATACTCTGGCCCTGAAACTTTAAGATGCTGAACTAAAACTATATGTTAATACTAGCCAATTGCTCGTCAAGAATGATGAGGTGGGAGCAGGGGGCTGGGAGGGAGTGCTGCCACTTAACCCCACCTGCTGCTGCTGTTCTGCCTCTTGCAGGGAGCGGGGTGGGGGAGCCAAGGTCAGTGCTGCTGGCCTTGGCTCCCCCACCCCCTGTCCGGTCCTTGGTATGGCTCCATGGTGGCACTCCTCCATACTTGGAGCATGGTGGTGGAATCATGGCAGCGCTCCCCCATGCTTGAAGCATTCTGATTGGCTGTTTCTGTCAGCCAATCAGAGTGCAAATAGTGTTAGAGACAGACAGACAGACAGATAGAATTAGACTTTTATAATATTAGAGGGGTCTTCAAATACAATTTGATAACTGACCACACAGAGCCTGAGAAACACCAAGAAGTAAAATGAGTTCAGAAGTCAAGCAGTCTAAGAGCTGTAACCAGTCTGTGAGCTGTAACAGCAGTCAGTGACCGGGGCTGGGGCAGGGGTCCCCTGGCAGCCGATCACGCTGATGGGGGGTGGGGGACGGTTCCCTGGCAGCCAATAGTGCTGACTGGGGGGGATCCCCCGTGACTGATCTCACTCACCAAAAAGCAGCCACTCTACTTCCAGAAGACCCGTGGCCAGTTCCAGAAGCAGCACAGCCACTTCCGCTGGTGGCCCCACTCCCTGGCCGGCACTTGTGGGGGGGCACCGGCACTCCCACCTGCTACCCTGCCCATTGCCTAAACAGGGAGCACGGCCTGACAGGGGGTGTACGTGCACCCCTGTGCATCCCCTACATGTCGCCACTGGCTGTAACCATAGAAGTTGACTGCAGTTACTGAGCATCTGTATAACTGCGTTGAATAAAAATCTAGTTCAGGCTTCCATCAACTTACATCTCTTTTCTAATTGCAGCTCTGCACAAGTTCATGAAAATGACTATAGAATTATTTTAAATAGTTGAAAACAAGGGAATACTATTCTTAGCTGCAAAACTATATTTGAGAAATAAGGCATATATTCTTTACGTTAAAAAATAAATAAATACAGAACTAGAATCTGTATTAATGCTGTTTTCTGCCCTTGCGGAAAAGAGCACCTTTTTCTCAATGGACTATATTCATTAGATTTTCTTTGTGAAATCAAAGGACTTGTTAGATATCATGAACAGCTGACTAACTGCATCCCACTCCCTGAAGTTTCACTTGAAATGGGCAAATGGCAGCTAGAACAGATATTACATTTACAGTAATGGTACTGCAATAAATTGTCTCATATAAAGAGGAATCATGAATTGGTACCATGAGTACAGGTTCAAATTTTAAGTGCTCCTGGCACAAGGGAGAAAAATCAATCATAGTTCCTGCCTAATCCCTTATAAAAAATGAGCACTTTCATTTTATGCATCTATTGTTTCATCTCCTGCATCTGAGAAGTGCTGGTAATTCACATTCTATATTCAAAAGTAAGGTACATAAATAATTTTGCAATCCTGAGATTAATGATAATGAGTTAGTGTGGGAATCTCTTCTTTTTTGTTCTTTCCATTTCCATTGCAGCAGCAAGTTTACAGCTCATAAAAAGAAATGAATCTGACAACCAGCTGACATACAAAACCTGACATAGTAAGTTTAGCAGCCCAGCATGACAAAAAATGTTTACACATCTTGTTCAGTTTGGCCATGTCATCCTCAGACCTGCCTCACAGCTCTCTATGGAATCAATGCAAGGTAGTTTCCTTGCTTTAAAAAGAGAGAGAGAAAAAAAACACACAACTGCTTAAAACCATTAGTGGAGCTTACTTCTTGCAATGAATTTGAAGCCTGACATGGGAACCCTGATAGCACCGAAACCCTGACAGAATTAACTGAAAGTTGTTTTGCTAAATTTGTACATAAAAATGAACAAATGAGAGATGATCTGTCACTGGCAGGTTTTGACAGAGGCATGGCTAGCTGACTAATCTGCCTATCTTTTGATCTGATTGATCTTTTGATTCAAAATCAAGGGAGTCATCTTAGTCCTGTCTATAAAAGTGGTTCTCAACTTTTTTAGACTTGAGGCACCTCTTGCAAAATGCCAGCTCTTTGTTTTGACAGTTTTTTTTGAAAATGGGAAAATAATAGATAAGCTCTTCTATTGCAAAGAACTTGGAAAGACTATAATACGTCAGAATTTGTTCAACACTATGGATTCCTATTTGAAATCTCTGGGTTTATCTTGTGAATAATTTTTGCACACCTAACAGTGCTAACATTGACTGGCACCATGCAGGACCCTCGAAAGGATTCTAAGGCAGCCCAGGGTGCCATGGCACTTTGGTTGAGAATCACTGGTCTAAATGGAGATGTTCCCTGAATATCAGGTATTATCTTTATGGGCGTACTAGTCTCTGCTGCAGGGCATGGGTTTCTCCACCATCAGCTTTTGATGTATATTTTCTGTAAAATAATGATTCGTAAAAAAGGCACTTGGGAAAAATAAACGGGGGGGAAAAAAACACACCAAAATTAATTCAGATATCCTTCCCTCTTCTATTCACTATATGTTCCTCTTTCTGATCCATAACTTGACAGCACTAATAGTCTTTCCCTTCCAATGAAAGAGGAACATTTTTGAAGTGCCCCTAATTACTAAAGGTACAGACAGAAGTGACCATTTTCACTTGATCTGGCCAGAGAAAGCAGCTTATAGCTATGACCGAATACAAGTGCACAGCTGCAAACAACTTGAAAAATGGCTGATCAGGTAAAAATCTAACCCCCCATTGCATGAGGTATCAGATAAAGACGTTTCAAAATGTAGCATCTTCTGTAACTTGTGTCTACCGAGCAACCAGCCTGTTGCTGTTTATAGAATGGGAGTGGAGAAAAGGAGCAGAGGGAGTTCAACCTGGGTTTTTTTCAGCCCCCTAGAGGGTGGAGTGGGTGTATTGAAGACTCCCGGGGGGCTCCAATTTACCCACCCCAAATCTCAGCACCAACTGGGGAGCCCCAAGAACAAGGCCCTTCCGATTCTGAAAATAGCAAGCACTGGCAGAGAGCCCTGGCCAATGCTATGGGAACCTGGCTGCAGACTCCCAGCCCATAGCTAAATTCCCCTCCCCCCTGGAACCAACAGCAAAGTTCTGTTTGGTCTAGGGTAGGACTGTAATGCTTTGCAGAAATTGTTCTGAGTTACATCTGGGAGCTGCACTTCTGTCTACACCCTAACAGTGCTTAAAAAGAACAATTTTAAACACCTTCTATAAACAAATGGGCAGTACATTTAATGCAACTTGCAGAGGGAGCATACCAGACCACAGAAAAAAAAGAATGAAAAAATGAGTAAAAAATCAGAGTGACCACTTTTCTTGTTTCGTATATTTAGACAGAGATTTTCAAAGGATGACGAGTGGATTCAGGTCCCCTACTTCTGTTTCACCTTTTTAAATGTATATCTGTAAAATCATTTCAAGTACAACCACACTGAAATACTTACAGACTTCTGAAGCAGGTTTTCTCTTTAGTTCTTGAATTAAATGGTTGATTGCTGTCCAGTCGACAGTTAATTCTTGTAATTTTTTCTAGAATAGGAAAGTAAGGCTATTATTCATCTATAAGCATTAAGAAAAGAAGTAGCATTTCCTGTTTGAAAGACTAGTCTGTGATACTGTCACTTCAAACATATATTAATACCTTTTCTACAGCATGCTTGCTGTCATTTCATGTCCAAATGCAGTATCTCTATCCCTGTATAAATATAGCATTTCCATACTCAGAGACTATACGACTTCACAAATCTTGACACTTGAAGTAATTTGTAGTAATGAGGATAAGGGGGATAACTTATATCCAAGTGAGGATATGTATATTAGTTTTGATTTATCCAAGTTTTATTAGCAGGAATTTGGGCTGTTTGTGATGTTTAATAAGCAGTGCATCTCAAGTGGACTTAAACTATTTTTTCTATGCACAATAATGGCATGACTTTAAAGTGTCATTTCTCAAGATATTCTAGAACCATAGCTAGAATCATATAAATTGGTATAAGTGACCAAAAACCAGTCTGTGGTGGCCAGAGCCAGAGGGGTTACTATCACGAGCAATAAATATATGCTCTTGGAGACATCCAGGAAATTGTCTAGCAGTTAAGATTAGCTAATGCAAAGCTTGCAAGTTTGCAACCCGCAAGTGGAATTTGTCTGTCAGAATTTAACCAAAGCATTGAATCTAACTGTGTACACTGATCATGGCCCCCAAAATAAGCAAAACTACAAGATTAGCTGATCTAACAGGTTTTTTAAAGGTCAGCCATAACAAGATCTGACCACCTAATATAATTAACACATTCCAAGGAATGCAAGGAATAAGGAATCAAGGGGTTGAGTTTGGGCAGAGTAATGCTAATTTCAAACCTCAAAGTAATGTGGTGTAATTTGCTTATTGGGTGAACTCGAGTTCGAGCGGTAACGTTTCATGATAATTTCTAACACCTTTTAATACCATAAAGTAACAGCTATAGGGCAAGATTGTGAGTGGCTCTAAAACCAACAGATTAGCATAACATAAGGCATAAAGGAATGCGCATGTCAAGTAAGCCAGGTGGGGTCCAGATGACCCCTCAGACAGCGCTGATCGGGGATGCCTGACTTCGCTGGAACAACTTGGCGCGTACCTGGCATAGAGGGACTGCCGATAAGTTGCCAATCCCCTGTGGGAACTCTTTGTCATTTTGTCTATCTGTTGTTATTATTTACTAATTAGCTCTTTATTATTGTACTATTTGTTTGTTGCATTAACTTTTCTGTTAACTGTTGTATGCTAAGCTATAAGTAAATTTGCCTTTACTTCACTCCCGACTAGCCTCCTCGATCCCGAACCCAGCAGCCTAACGGCTGATACACTCACAGTGCCTAGCCAGCCTGTGACACCAGTCTACACCCATAACAGAACAGAAGTTCAATGCACATAGACTGGTTTAAAAATGGAGGAACCCAGTCTATGTAGACATGGACTGATGTACACTCAAACTTAATCTGATTTAGGTTAGACCGGTCTCTCAAACTTGTGTACCAGATCCCCTATTGATTCATGCTGTCACTGGCCGCTGGAATGTCAGATGCCTTTGTGGCCCCCGGCTAACCTCCCCTCACAGGGAAATGCACTAGTACTCGCCCTGTACTCAAGTGCTCTGACTGATTGCCTCTTAGAGCTCAGCACCAGTGGCAGCTGGCAGCAGAATGTGCCCAGTGGCCTAGGAGGGTCATGCTGGGCAACAGGGAAAGAAGAACTCCCCATCCTCCTGCTGTCACTTGCAATTCACTGGCACTCTGAGGAGACTAATGCTTCCCTCGGCAGATCTTTCCTTGCACATGCCTCCTAAACTGCCCCATGTGCCCTGCTGCCAGCTGCCACTGGTACCAAGGCTCATGCAGGGACACAGACCCCTGCTGGCTGGCAGCAGCTGGCAGTATACAGGCCGGGGCAGATCAGCTGATGCAAGGACCTGCAGTGCTGATCCTGGGGTGGGGGAGGGACCCTACAGCTGATGTGCCCTGGGCCTGTATGCTCCTCCAGCCAGCTCTGATATGGGGCCAGGGCAGATCAGCTTGTGCAGGGACCCTCCTCCCCCAGACTGGCATGCTTGCCCCCTTGCCAACTCCCCATGATGCCAGCAGGGCTCCCAGGGGCTTGCAAGCCCCTGGGACCTGAGCCCAGTGCGGGGGGGAGAGCACAGTCCCAGGCCTGCACCCGACCCCCCACACTGGGCTGTAAGCCACTGGGACTCCCTGCTGGTGCCACAGACAGTGGGTGGGGGGGGCAGGTGTGCCAATCTGGGGTGGGGAGGGTCCCTGCACAAACTGATCTGTCCTAGCCCTGTACCAGAGCTGGCTGGAGGAGGGTGTGGGTCCAGGAGAGAGAAGCTGGTGTGGAGACCCTCCCCTTCTCTGGGATCAGGGCGGTCGGTCCCCACACCAGCTAATCTGCCCTGGTCCAGTGCCACCAGCCCCAGGCTGCAGCACCTGTGTCCTGTCAGTTGGCAGGCAGATCAGGGACCTGCCAGCACTCCTGGGAGGGCTGTGGGGGCTGTGCCAGAGTCCTCCCAGGGGTGCAAACCCCCAAGCTGCCTGCCAGGTGATGGGAGCTGGTTGCTGCTGCTTGGGACTGGTGGCAGCATAGATCTTCCCGGCACCAGTCCCAGGTGGCTGCACCCAGCTTCTCTCATCTGGCAAGCAGATTGGTGGCTTGCATCCCCAGGTGGACTCTGGAACAGCCCCTGCAGCCCTCCCGGGGGTGCCAGCAAGCCTTTGATCTGCCTGCCTGCTGCATTTTATGCTTCCCCATAATAAGTATGGGCGAAACTTAGAAAAAGCATTGAAACAGCAAAACAGTTTTGACAAAACAAAACAGAACAGTGGTTTTTAAATGAAATGAAACTCGAAATGAAATACCATTCTGTTGAAACATTGAAACTGAAGCCAAATTGGAATGGTGCTGTTTCTCATAGCCCTACTAACTACCTCTCTGTACAAGCAGTCCTTGACTTACAACATTTCAAGTTACAACACTTTGCACTTACAAGGTTTATAAATTGACACCCTGTTTTAACTTTCTGATGTCAGTTTTCACTTTACAACGCTTGATCCAATGTGATGCCAACAAGTTTGCTGCATTGCCCATCTCCCTGGAGAACATCTGTTCAAACTTCCTTGGACGCTTTCTTTAAGAAAGCAGCCAAGACTCCTAAGAAGACTCCAGCCAAGAACCCTTCAAAAAGTCCAACCAATAGCCCTTCAAAAAGTTTAGCAAAGTCACCTCAAAGAAGTCCCTCCAAATCAATATGATTGCTATGTACAATATGAATACACTAATGTAGCTATATTACTCATCTAGAACCGAGTACAAAATTCTGGGTTATTTTTGGTGAAAATAGGATATCGGGCCTTGGTTCAGGAACCAATCCCCCATTTATAACATAGTTTTCTATAGGAAAATTGGCTCCGAGTTGCAACGTTTCAACTTAAGACATGGGTTCCAGGAACCAATTGTGTCATAAGTCCAAGGACTGCCTATTCTTCAAAATATCCAGATTCTTCAAGTCAAAAATAGGCAACCTACATCCCATAGGCCAGATCGGGCCCACAGAGCCATTTCATTTGGCCTGCAAACATGGGGCATTGGCAGTGGAGGCTTTCAGCAGCAGTTGTTTACCCCTGCCGCTGCAGGGAAAAGCAATGGCAATGCAAGTTTCCCCATGTTCCTATGAGGGAAATGGTAGTGACAAGCACTTTCCCTGAGTCTCCATGGGGGAAAGTGGCAGCTGCAGGTATTTTCCTTGTGCCACTGTGGGAAAAGTAGTGATGGTGGCTAGGTCTTAAAACCAACCCACCCACCCATTTCTGACCTAAACTGGTTCAATCTGGTCTACAGCCTTAAAAGTTTCCCACCACTGCTCTAAGTAAATCTCTCACCTGTAACCTGGGGGTTACAATGGACAGTAAGCTAAATATGAGCCAACAGTGTGCCCCTGTTGTGAAGAAGGCTAACAGCATACTAGGCTGCATTAGTAGGAGTGCTGCCAGCAGATCAAGAGAAGTGATTATTCCCCTCTATTTAGCATTGGCAAGACCACATCTGGAGTACTGCATTCAGTTTTAGCCCCCAACTACAGAAAGGATGTGAACAAGTTGGAAAGAGTCCAACAGAGGACAACAAAAATGGTTAGGGGGCTGAGGCACATGACTTCTAAAGAAAGGCAGAGGAAACTGGGCTTATTTAGTCTGGAGAAGAGAAGACTGATTTAATAGCAGTCTTCAAGTACCTGAAGGGTGGTTCCAAAGAGGATGGAGCACATAAAAACTGAAGCAGAAGGTGGCAGACGACAGAACAAGGAGTAGTGGTCTCAAGTTGCATTAAGGAAAGTTTTGGTTAGATATTAGGAAGACCTTTCTTACTAGGAGGATAGTAAAACACTGGAACAGATTACCCAGGGAGGTGGCGGACTTTCTATCCTTGGAGGTTTTTAAGGCCTGGCTAAACAAAGGTTTGGCTGAGATGACCTAGTTGAGGATGGTCCAGCTTTGAGCAGGAGGTTTGATTAGATGACCTACTGAGGTCCCTTCCAACCCTAGTTTTCTATGATTCTATGATTTGGCTACTCTAAACTCCAAATTCTTGAATCCACAACAATCCACCACTGCAGGTACAGCAAATTAGCTCAATGGCTTTACATTTTTCATTTATTTAATAGGAACATGTTTGTGAAACTGAATCAAATGCAATAGCTGTTGTGTACATTTAGAAACCTTTTAAAACAGAACATTGACTTTAAATTTAGGCACAGGTTGTAGTGCAGAAGGTTCAGAAACTCACAGCTATGGTAGCACCAGAACATCTGTATCAAGATGCAAATATAAAGGCAGGTAACGTATAATGGCTTGAGTACAGGACTAAGAACAAAGAAAATAAGGTTATTCATGTGGCCTGACTCCTAATGTTATCTTAGGTAAGACAGTTGCTTTCCCTCTCATCACATAAGTATAGGTATACATATTGCATATATAATATATATTGCATATGCTCACACTTCTGCCTCAGTTTTTATATTTGTAAGCTTGGGATAAGACATACGCTAAATCTTGGTAGTGGGAAGATAGATAAAGTGCTTGAACATGTAAATACTTGAACCCAGTTACTAACCACTTGATCGCAGTACCTATCTGACATTGTGATCTATGTTCTATGTATAATTATTACCACTGGCACATTATAAATGAAACACACACACACACAAGTTCCCAGATTAGGTTATTTAATAAAATGTCTCTCAAAACTGTAAAAAAAAAAAAAAAAGTCACAGGAATAAACACAGTATTTTTTGTTAAGGATTCACATTTTCTTTTTAATTCTCTACCATGTCTATTGTCATCTAGTCAATGACCTTTGTATAAGGCAACATCAAGTCTGCCAAACCTCACTCTCATTGCTGAAAATAATTGTTCAGTCCTAGCCTGCAAAATTAACATTACATTTCACACTTTTCTCAAAATGTATTAAACATTGTTCATGATACTGGCACCAAACTGTCACTCTGACTTTTAGTGACATAACTATTAAATCTCCTTAACATCACCAAGCAACATTTATATAATATCATAGGCTTAAAGCAGTGCTTTCTAAATACATGAGAGAAGAAAACAAAAACAGTTCCCTGATCCTAGGAACTTTGGGGGCTACAAACAAAACAATTGTTGAAGCATGCTTAATTAATGAACTAATAAGTTACTAGCATCTTGTAACTTAAAATTGAAACGTTATTTGAAACATAATTCTCTACAAGCATGGCAGTTGATATATCATGTTCTGCCATCAAGAATTCATGGAAAAGAACAAAGAAAAAGCTCTAAAGGAAAATAAGCTAGATAATGAGAAGCTTATCAAAGAACAAGTCATCCCTGTCTGAGAGACAAGATTTTTGTATGGAAAGGACAGACAATATATCGAAATGATCCAAACTGTATTTACTAGACAGTCATTTTGATGGTAGTGAAACATTATGGCATCTAGTAAAATCACATGGTCATATACAGAAAATGTGGCAAAAGTGTTTATTTGAAAAGGTAGATGGTTTAATTTAGGTAATTAAAACAGTTGAGAGAATGAAACATCTCTAGTTGCAATTGACTGTAACAGAAAATGACTAATAATGCTGTCATTTTGCAATTCATATCTGATTAAATGATAGCTGGCAGATTGTAATTGCCCTCTTGTGTTCTTGTCCTCAGTTATTATTTTGTGTCAAAGGTTGGAAGAAATGAACTCATGACCAGAAGAGGGAAGGAAATAACATCTTGCTTTATTGCATTCAAAGTGATAAAAGTGAAGAAAAAAGTACTGTTCTAGAAAGCCTAAAGTATTTGTGAATCAACTGGGCCACTACTTCTGACAATCATCAGAAGAAAATGATGGGAATATTAGCAGGAATCCTGTATACTGTTTATGCATAGAGCATACTAATATTCATCAGAGATGTTTATAGATAAGTTTTGAGATTTAATTTAATATATGTGAAGCAGGCAGTACTAATTATTGTTTAGGGTGCTCAACAGTTATCACTTTAAGACCTAGTTTTCCATTGCTTATAATTTGCTAGGTTTTAACAGCCAGTACCCACCATGTTTTGAAGGTGTGGCTTAATAATATTCAGAAGGTAGTACTTGTGTCAGTGATATGCCTTTTATTGCCTCTATAAAAATCCACTCAAATACACCTAGTTGGAGGCCTTTAAAAAAAACACAACTCGCACATACTCAGTAGAGACATGCTAGATCTTGATTATCTCCAAAGACTCTATTCTCTTCTCATGTTCCAATCTAACTATTCCTAGTACTGGTTACACTGTACATGGGCCACATCTTTAGAGCAGGGGTGTCAAATTCACCAGGCCCCATGGGCCAGAGAAGTAGTGCAGGGTCAATCTGTGGGTTGGCCTGGGCCTGCAGACCAGCCCCATTCACCAGATCCTGTGTACAGGGCTAGTCTGGAGCATGTACCACATTCCACACAGGATCTGGCCCTGTGTGCCGCAAGCAGTGGAAGTCCAATCCAAGATGCAAGGGAGGCACCAGGACCTGGATGATAGGATACTTGGGCCAGATCCAGTTCTTGGGCCATATCTTTGACACCCTTGCTTTAAAGAAATTGAGTAGGTGCTAGCCAGAGGTTATAGGGGCTCAACAAGGATCCTACAATGGATGCTCTGGATTGGAATGGAGCTGATAATTAGTAAGACTGGGACTGACATATGGGGAAGAAAGGTTTGGACTGGTTCAGCTGTGCTTTGAATGAGGTAAGAGTCCTGTTGAAAAAACAACTACATGTTATTGTGTACTTTTGTATTATATCCTGATGCATAAACACAAGGGGCAGAAATAAGATTGTACAGGCAATCTTAGTCCTGACTTTTACTAGATGTTGAAAACTAAAACAGGAAAACTAAAACATTAAGAAAGTAATTCCAGATCCCTGGCATAGTATATTCCCAATTCTATGACTTACTACACAATAGAGCATTTACCTTAACAGGTTGGTCAATTAATTGAATGATAGAATATAATGAAAAAAGTGAAATGCAATTAGAGGTTGACTAGAAATGAACCAATAGTTACTAACTTATGGTTAATCAATAGAGGCAAGATTTTGTATCATTGTCCAAACTACTACTCAAGACAGGCCGCTACTGAAAACTGGACAAGGCAGAGCTAATTACATTCCAGTAAAATTATCATTAGGCCTGCTAATGTCAAAAGGATGTGGGTACATGTGAAGATGTACAGTGATATGTACCATAATTTATTAAACCTGGTTGGTCATTTCTAAATAAAAAGGCTATAGTTAAACCAACTCCTTGAACATAACAATTTCTGTTCTGGGTCCTCATACACAGGCTAGCATACAAACTAAATGCCAAAGAAGCATATATTCATAGGCTGTTGCTATTGGTGCTAACACCTTACTTATTAAGATTTGAAACAAGGTCTGAAGACTATAACTGCACTCATACCAAGTGTATAAATGCAATTATCACACTGAGACCTTTGTTCCATCATCCACTTAATGTACAGATGACAAGTTCCTATTCAGAACAATAATAGCTGCCCTGTTAGCTGAGAAAAATGAACAATACCGACTCTAAACTGTATTTGTACACTTTCATTAGGATGCTATTAGCTTTAAAACACCTTGAATTCACCTCTATGGGTATTTTTGAAAGGTTTCCAATTCTAAGTTGTAAAGAGAATTCATCATTTTTAAAAGAACAAATACCAAGGGGGAAACAGTTCTCAACTTCTCTGGGGGGAGAAAAAAGAAACCAAAATATTATTAAATATATATTAATTATTGATGCGGAGATGAAGAGGATTTGTCTGTTCATGTAAGTGGATATTTATTGGTAGCATTTAAAGAAGCCTTAAAAAAATTTAAGTGGTAGAGAAATAAAATATATTTCAGACAACTAAATACAAGCTGCAGAACCAAAAGGGAAATTCTCTGTAAGGTCACATATAGTAACAATAACATGGTTTGCAAGGACAAACTGCTTCTGTATAATAAGGTTATTGACCTGTGCAGGTTTGGAGAAGCTATCAATATGAGGTTGAACATTGCTCTCTCTCCACCCTGCAAGAGGCAATTGTAATAGAAATAGGACAAATCAATAAGTGACTATTAGATGCTCCAATAGACATTTTATCAAAGTCTCTAGTAATAATTTGTTGCCTATTACAAAAAGTAAGCAATCAAGTATACATGAAATAGCATGTGTCACCAAGCTATACTTCATGACTCTGTCTGAAGGTAACAACCAGAATGATGACATCCCTTCTCTTATATCAAAAGACAGGTGAACTTTAATGGGGAGGTCAGTGATGACCTGGACCAGTCATTCTCAACCTTTTTAGATCTCTCTGGAAATGCCAGATCCTAGCTTATACTCATTTTTTGACTATGGAAAAACAGTCAAATAATTATTCTGTTCTATTTTTTTGACTAGGTAGGAGAACACCAAAAGAAGAACTTGCTGTCGCAACATACAATTATTTCTAACTGTGAGCACAACATTATTCCTGGCTATGCTATCACAGAACAGAGCCAATACTAGTATCCAAGTTCTTTCACTGATTTTAAAACAGAGCACATCAAGGACAAGCGTACAACAGGGGAAGCATATCCCATTATGCAGTAATGGATATTACGAAAGGTTGCTTCATTACCTTTAGAGGATGAGTGGCTGGTTTTTCCTTATATAAAAGACGCCCTCTAGACAAAATCCCTTCCACATTCAGCTGTTTGTCTTGAACTGCTGCTTCTGTTTCCTGGAAAACAAAAACGTACGCTGTGTATATTAGCCATAGAATGATCAATTAAATCACAAAATATTAAATCTCCATAGGCAACTATATACACCCAATAGATAAGTTTTTGTTTTGGATGTAGATTTACAGATTTAGCAACCATGGACAAATGGGGTCAATGAAAAATAAAAAGGGATTAAAAAAAGAATAAAATAAACCAGTACATCCTGTCAGGCATGAAGGTCCCAATAAAACTAGTATAGAAACCAGCATAAATTCACAATAGAAAGAACAGGTATCTGAAATCTGTTTCAAACTGCCTCATTGCCCTATTTTACATTAAAAAAATATTGGAAACTAGTAGAAGGAATATCTTATCCCTACCGTAGAGGACACCTTGCTCATTTGATCAAGTGCTGTTGAGTAATTTATGCAAGTTTCTCAATATTTTATAATGCAACGTTCAAACTTGATAAAACCAAAACAGCTGACTAAAAACAGAACTCCTAAAACCATATTAAGGCATCTCTTCTTAGAGGGAAGGAAGAGGAGTACTGAATTTACAAAAAACTTCCACATTTTCAGGTTTTCTAAAGGCTTCCAAGTTGTCTATGAAAATATGCACTAGGTGGAACACTGCACATAGGTAATTTAAAAGCACACAAAATCCTTTCAAGTTTGAACTAAAAAGAAGGTGAAGAAAAGAAATTTCACATGCAGTGTGAAATATGTGGGCTCCATTCTTCAATTTGAAGAGAGTTATCAAATGAGATAGAAAAATGGAGCAATATCTTAGAGATCCAACTGAGTTTAGGGATTTTTTCTTCTCCTTTCTCCCTCTAATCTGTAGTTTGCGTAAACTTTACAGCTTGTCCAAATGGGTTTCTATTTCTGCTTGCAATACCAGTGGCCATCCAATGACTCGTCATCTTTATTTTCTGCCTACAGTCTAAGTCATCATTATTTTGACAGCAGGCAAAATTGTATGCCAAGCTCTTCACTGTTTAGATGGCTCAGCCACCTCATTTCATTGATGGAAATCTGTAAAATGCTACTACTTTTTCCTCCGGTCTGCATTTCACTTGTTCAAATCAATGTCATTCTACACCTCAGAGGACTATATCCTTCCTCAGTTTTAAACTGTCACTAGAAAAGGAATCTAAAATGCTTTCTTGAAATTCTGTATGCAAAACTTTCTGAACAGTACAGTAAAATTACACTTTATGTCCAGGAATCCACAGCTTTCTAAAAGTTGTTTATAAATTCAAAATAAGACAAAACTTGTTAAGTTTCTTGCAGGGCTATTTTAAATACTTGCATGTCATTGATTCTTGTTATCTATTTGCAATTTGAATGAAAGATTCCAAAGATTCTTGCTCTGAAATTACAGCTGATTTATTTTTGCCACACCACTATTTAGCTCTCATTTCCTTCACGTTCTTCCCCCCTAAAAGTAAGAATCCCTATCCTTTTTGACAGAGCATTAGTCCAATCTCATATAATTCTTAACTTTCAGAGAATGGAAGAACAATTATCAAAGGGAATGTTAGTAAGGAAAGATATTTCTTCATGTTATATTTTAATGTGTGCGCACCTATGGATATACACACCATGACAGAAATTCTGTAACATGAACAGAAATTAGAAATAAGCAGGGATCCTTTTTTCTCAGGTTTAAAAAAAGTAAACCAAAAATCAATATTTTTCCATGATTAAAATGAAACACCAGTATATACATCTCCCTATATTATTTCATTTTAATCATGGAAAAATGTGGATTTTGGGTTACTTTTTAAAATCTGAAAATTGGGGATTTGTTTTAAATCAGAGAAAACCAGGATTCCTGGAAATAAGAAATAGTGATTATAAGCATATGAAAATATCATGCTGGATCTTTCACACCCAATATGTGAAATAGCTGAACTTGAAACATTTGTAGAAGGATGGAAAATTCCAACACAACAATGGGATCACAAAAATACTTTGGGCATTGAAAGTTCCCTGTCAAGGAAACACCATCTTCGCTACTCACAGACATGGGAAAAAAAAAGAAAAATTGGTGCTTTACTGTATGCTTGGCATGCCCCTGCATCAAGTGCAGAGCATGCCCAGGAAAGGCACTGGACCCGGCTTGCCCAAATTCTGTATAGATCAGCTGCTACAACAGGGCTTTTTTCCACTTTTATCTAATAGCTGATTTAATCGGATTTTGATAAAAGCACCAAAAAGCCCTGCTCAAGTGCCCAATCTATACAGATGCTCTGGAGCGCAGTCTAACTAACATGTTGACTCTTTTGGTAAAGTGCTGTCTTATTTTTATTTTTTTCCAGCTCTCTCAGCACCTATTATCTCTACCAACACTCCTTAGACAAGAGGAAACATTCCAGGAGTGCCTTTCATAGAGTCTTTATCAAACCACTGGCTTGACTTAATATGCAAGTAATCAATAAAGAATATTCATAAAATATTGTTTTCAGGATTTACAGAGGTGTCAGAATGGTGCTGTTCCACAGTCTATGCAAGCAATTTTCAGGCTAGCAACACATTATGATTTACTAAACACACATGCACATACAATGAGTAAGTTCAGGAAAGAAAACTCAAGATCTACAATAATAGTTCCAAATCCTTCCACAGGTTCTAACATAGTCATGTAAGAAAGACTGTCCCTGGCCACATGTATTATATTTAACTTGAATATAAGATGCCCCCCCCAATATTTAGATTCTGTATATAGAAAGTGCATACATTTGTTACAGTTTTCATAGAATCTAATTATTGGAGGTTTGCCTTGAATTTGTCCCTCTCCCACTGCTACAGCAGGGAAAATAAATCTGGGGGGTGGGGTTAGCCCCACTGCCCTCTATTCCCCCTCATCGTTTTCTCCCTGAAGCCTCTTCTTATTGTCACACCCTGATCTCCCTGAGAATATGGAAGCAAGAGACAAATTTGAAAACACTGACCTTGAAATAAATCTACTTGTAATAATATGCATATAGCCAAATTATTACAGGTACCCACAGACTTAGGTCATCCAAAATTGATAGTTTACCTTTTTTAAAAAAAAAAACAAAAAAAATGTTACAAATGTTACAAAAATGTTCAGACAGCTACTCCATAAACATGTTTTGAAGTGGCACTTTTATACTTATATATAATACAAGCCATGACTGATATTAGTCCAAAGCCAAAAAGGCTTATGATTTACCATACAGATCATTGGGCTGGGCTCCAGCAGAGTCAACAGCATTTCAAGCCATGGTGACCCCACAGTTCAGCACTGCTCAATGTGTGCACACTTCAGATATCACCCCCTGCCCCACAAAGGATCCATGTGCTAATTATCCCCACCCAGACATGACTGCAACTGGGTGGTCTTGTCATGATACCTTGTTTTGTCCAAAAATCTATATGCAGATGAAGCACAGGGCAACCTACTCCAGCGTCACCTCATTGAGGGAGGGACTGCAATAATTTATACAACAGGCAGAGAAAGCGGCTGACAGAGGGATTCTGGATAAATTGTTTGGGGCACCATTTGGTGATGTTTGCCAGACATTTAAGAAACAAGAATTATTGGAAATAGAAAAGTAAGGCACAGCTCAGCTGTGGAAATGAGGAGGAAGTCAAAATGTATGCAGTACAGTGGTTCACCATGACTTGTAAAAGAGTTGGTGCAGAGGTGAACTGTGTGCAATGGATACTACCCTATATCTTGTTCAGATGTGATTCACTAACCTATCCTTGTGGTAGGTTCCCCATCAGTAAGCAGCAAGGGACCCAGTCAGCCCACTTTGACCAAGTCATCTCTTGCTTCAGAAATGCCCTGTGGAAGACCAGGAACCTGTTCATAAACAGACACACAAACCACCCAGTCAAGAGCTGCATTAAAATGGGACTGAGTGAGATGTATTGGTACTATAGGAAGACAATAGAAGATGAAAAGGCAAGAGATGGCAGACATCACCTGGAAGAGAGGGGACTGGCACAGACTGTTCAGAGGTGAGCCCTCCAATGAGTGCAATGATGATGGCAATGATAAGTATAATGATGGTGACCAATATAATGACAAGTGAAAAGACTGGGCAAACAGGCAGGGGAGTTGGGCAGCAAGGAAGGGAGGGTGGGGGGAGGGCACTGAAATAGTCCTTTGTGTAATTGTGGTTAAAGGTGATGGTGATGGGCATGTGGGAATGCAGGTGAGTAGTGAGGTTTTTTTGCAATGGGAATAGGAATGGCGCAACTGTAAAGGTGCATTCTGAACTGTTAAGTGAACCATAGCAGTCATGAGACAGCTTGGTAGAGGTATAGTTTTTTTTTTGTTTTTTTTTGTTTTTTTTTTACAAAGAACTCCCCAGCCCAGTATGTTTGCCCAGTGTGGGCCATATGTTTTACAGTCATGCTCAGTGTTGGCTACATTTAATCAACTTCATAGTTGGTTTCCATTACCGAGTACATGCCGCTTTTGGCAGCAGTTTAATGATAGATATTCTATTTAAAGAGGTTCCTTTTATACAAATATAAGATGAGGGGCGACGCTCCCGTCCCCGCTCCCCCCCCCCATGCTGATTCAGTGGAAAAAAACACATTGTATTCAAATAAATATGGTATATATACCAAAAACTTTAAAAAGAAAACATTTATTTTGGCAAACATATATTTGTTATACACTTTTTATTCCATTACATCAAAAAATGAAAAAGATATCTGTCCTTTCCTGACAGAGAAATGTTCCATAATTCGGTAGACAAAACATAATGAACTGAGAAATTATATTACTAGTTCCCTTTGTTTTCTCAACTATTCCATGATATAGTCTTGTAAAAAATTAACATCCCAAAATCAGCTGCTTTGTAGTCTAGTCAGTTATCAGCTTGTTTATAGTCAGCTTGGGTGACAAAAGTGCTTCTAAGTGAACAAAGGCTAAATACATATCAAAAAGCCTCTATTTTTCAAACTGGAGAAAAACACTAGTAAAGAGATTAGAGTGAATTTCCATTCATTCTTTAGGTAGAAACTTG